TCTGGGCCTGAATCTGGCCCTGGCCCTAGAAGCGTGTACCTGGCCACAAAACGGACAACAGTACACCCGTTAGAAAAACAGCAGCAAATAAATAAAATAAAGACTATAAAAATAATCTAAAGCTGGCGTTTTTCTGATGCAGGCCCAAGTAAAAATGCCATAGGGCCTTCAGGTTGCGGTGACGCGACCTGGGGGCCCTATTCCAACCTCGGGTCCCGTGAGGGCCCGGTGTGTAGGCTTTCAGCATGTAACAGGAGGCCTGAACCCTTGACGATCTGTGGAATCCACAAGTATTGATGGTTTGGGTCATGCATGAACGCTTTGAACCTTGTGGAAGGCAGACTGTCCACAAGGGGAAGGAACACAGCAGCAGGCAGGCAACAACTCAATGAAGCACCAGGCAATGCAGCCGGAGCAACCCAACTGCACAGGGCCAAAAACAACTGCGAGGAACGACAGGGCAAGCGGACGTGCCGTACGGCAATAGCGCAGCGAAACACAAGGTAAACACCAAAACAGCAGCCACAGTACGCGGCAGCACAAGCAAGGAACGCGGAAGGCACAGCACGCAGACGGGCAGGAAGGCAGCAGCAGAGCGAAGCATGGGGAACACCGCAACCATACCTCACAGTGAACAGAGCAGCTTGCAAAGAACAACATGTGACGCAAGCGGGACGGGCAGCAAGGCAGCGGAGGAGCGCAGACAAGGCAGTCTGCACATCCAACATGGAGCAGCACATCACCTACTCACATCACGGTGAACCCTGCAGACCGTTGGTTCCCACCACCCACTGAGCCAGTGAGTCACTTGACGAACGTCTGTCATCACCCGTAGAGCAGACATACATCCCGAACTGAGCAGCCCCCTTAAGAGTGCTGCAGGCACTCCAAACAAGGAACGACCAACTATTTGGCACTGCTTAAAGGTGCTCAGCTGGGCACACAAAAAGTAAGAAAAAAATGGGAGGAAGAACAAACAGCAAGAAAGAGACAGACACAAATAAAACTGTGTGTGTGTGTGTGTGTGTGTGTGTGTGTGTGTGTGTGTGTGTGTGTGTGTGTGTGTGTTTGGTGAGATGAGTCCACTGCACCTTGCGATGCAGCGAGCTGTGTTTAAAGAAGACACAACTGTCACAACATAAATAATGCCAATAGCACAGACATTACAGCATCGAACAAATCACACCCTGATCCACACGAATATTCCATTCGACTGGGTATGCACGACCTCACTGACTTCCCTAAAAAGATGCAAGGACTACAGCCCGAGGGCACTAAGCCATGAGCTGAAAAAAGCAAAACGCAGACATTACAGCATCNGACTGGGTATGCGCGACCTCACTGACTTCCCTAAAAAGATGCAAGGACTACAGCCCGAGGGCACTAAGCCATGAGCTGAAAAAAGCAAAACGCAGCAACTAAGGGAAGGAAGAAAAAAGACAAGGCATGCGGCATCAACAAAGGGCGAAGGCTGGAGGGGAAGGGGGAGGCGGGTGGGCAGACAGACAGCAAGCCACAAGGCAAACAGCACAACGCAGCAAAGCATATAGGCTGGAGGGCATCGGGGAGGCCGGTGGGCAGGCAAACAGCACAAAACAACAAAGCACACTGGGTGAAAGGCATGGGGTAGACGGATGGGCAAACAAACAGCGTAAGGCAGCGAGGGAAACAACAACAAGACAAACGACGACAATGCAAAAACAACACCCGAAAAAAATACAAGTATAAACCAGGCAAAGACTATTTATGATGAAAAATTGTTTCGTCGGAGTTGCACCGACTCATCAGGAGGCTGAACCCTCGACAATCTGCGGAATCCCCGTATTTGATGGTTTGGGTCATGAACCCTTTGACCCTTGTTGAAGGCAGACTGTCCCCAAGAGGAACATAGCAGCGGGCAGCAACCCTGTGAAGCACCAGGCAATTGACTTACCGTGAGGGCATGGGTGCGCAGCCCGTAGTTCGTTGTTTATGTGGTTCAGGAAGGGTAAGGTAGTGATTATGCTGTATGTATGTTTTGTCATGTTCGCTATACACAACTCAAGGAGTTTGTGTGTGTGGGGTGCCGGTTGGTGCTTCAGTCACGATGTTCATGGGACGCTGGACCTAGTTTCCAGCAGGTGGCGCTCCCCATCAATAGACAGGAGAATGTATAAGAGTGTGTATGTGAGAGTGTGTGTGTGTGTGTGTGTGTGTGTGAGAG